AATATTCATATCATTATTATCAATTCCACTTTATTATCGTACATGATTGTAATTTTTGTCGAAAGCATTAAATTAAAAAATAGACGAACAATAATTGAGGATTTATTATATCGCTTACTATCATTTCTGCATCTAACATGTGCATTTGTTTTCTCGTACATTCTTGTAACTGTATATCAGTGATTCCTGAATCAGTTTTCTGGATCTAAATAAATCTTCTCCCCGCGATAATAAGCGCACGCTCACGTAAATCGACTTGACCTATCGAACAAGCTGATCGGCCGCTCGAGAGAAACATTAGCGAGGCGCGCTCGAGGCGAGGTCTCGCCGAGATAATCCATTTCCGTTGAAATGGCAAAAGGCGTATTACCTACTACGTCGCGAGCTTCACAAAGGCGAATCACGAGCCACCCGGTCCCTGGATGTGCCGTTCCCGAGTGTTAAACGTCCAAAGTAGGGCTACACGTCGTCGTTTACGAGACCGATAAATCTCAGAGGGGTAGCAGGAGTCGCGGATAGAGATTTCGCATTTGCGATATCGTAAATAATATAAATTTATAACGAGATACGACGTTGCCGCGTAAAAACGTAAGGTCCGCGTCTACACAGAAAAAAAAGAATCTTCTTTTGAAGAATGTTTAGTTTCAACGTAAAAATCTTGAAATGAGATTATATTGAGTTGAAGAAAGAAAAACTTACTTGAACGAAGCAATTTTGTATAATTTAACCAAGAAAAATATATGCTTATTGTTTCAGAATAATTTTCTTGAATAAACAGGAAACAATATTGGATAGAAAATAACATATTTTTAAATCGAAGATTATAATAATTAAAATAATTTTATTGTCAAAATACTTATATGTATTCTTCAAGTGACAATTGTAGTATTTAAATAAGACTGTAATATTCGTGGAACGTAAGATTATCAAATGCTATTAAGAAGATTAGAGATTGTTGCGTACACTGTAAAAAAAGTTACATGTAAAATTACAATTATTATAGTAGGTAATATTGGGACCATCTGTTAAAGGTGTATATTTACATACGCCAGTAAATTTACGCCTTGTAGGTGAAATTATTACCTGGTATAATAAGTAAACTACTTGTTTTAATTGTGTAAATTTTACAATTTTTTGTAATTTTTCATCATGTATAAACAAGTACTTACACAACAAAGAATAAAAAAATTGTTTCGTAAAAGTATACAAATTTCTGTTATTAATAATGTAATTGCTACACTATTATGTATGTAATTTTCATACTTTTTTTACAGTGTATACAGGGTGAGTCGTTAAGACTGTCCCAACCGTTTACCATAAGAGGTGAATTACCGACCGCAACTGTAGCCAACTCGGGAAAAAATGGATAAAATCTCGTTCTACATGTCTCAATCATGTAATATCTAATTATTTCTCGAGAAATGTAATTAGATATTACATGATTGAGACACGTAGAACGAGATTTAATCCAATTTTCCCGAGTTGGCTACAGTTGCGGCTGGTAATTCACCTGTTATGGTAAAAGGTTGGGACAGCCATTATGACTCACCCTGTACACAAAGCAATGAATGCGTTAATTTGAGTACACGGAGGGAATTTTCTTTTAAAATGTATCCTAAAAATCACGTAATTGCGAGACAACGTGGCATTTTGAAGAACTTTATGAGAGTTTTTTGAAATTTTACCACACAATTCACTAATAAAATGTATACTAAGTGATAACAAAAGGTATGGTAAAATTTCGAAAACTCATAAAATGCTTGGAAATGCCATGTTGTTCCACGATTACACGATTTTCAGGATAAATTTTAAGAGAAAAATTCTCCCCGTGTATATAAGAGTTGATCTGACACTTCTTTTTTTCTGGGTACCGTGGTGTAGATGTGGAAGAGAAGTGCGCATACATAGACACGTGCCATGTGCCTCGCTTCCTTTTCTCTCCCTCCTCGCCTCACTCTCTCGATATTGTATACGTTATTACTCTATAAATACTATTATCTACAATAGGACGGCCAGCTATATTTATCGTTACTTTCTCTGTCGAGAGGACGGTGACTGCCGCTCGAGATCGCGAATGAGACCGCGTTTCCTTTCTACCCGCGGGTAACGAGCGACAAAGTTGTGAAAAATAAATTAACGAGAAAGATTATTAACGGCTTTTCTGCAAAAATCTCTGTGCCAAAGTCGAGGGGAAAATACGCGCGAAAGCTGCGTCCAGAACGCGGGGAATGAGAAGTGCAAATCTCTCGGTAAATCACAGCCTCCGCGGATTAGAGGGAAAAAGCGTAGAAATTCAGTCCGCGCCACGAGGATTCCCGTTCGTGATGATCCAACTAGTGATGCCGGCCCCGTTCATCCGCGCAAATTTCATAGGGATCGCCTTAATAGCGATGCGCGATAATGCGCTATCCGCGATCCCCAATTCCGCGAGTACACGCCGTACCAGGTTTTTTGGGCAAACGGTTGACTCCATCGCCTACCGCGGGGCCAATTAAATGGCTGGTTGTAACATTTATGCGGCACGTTGTTGCATCGCGTTTTGATTCACGAGCGTGGTAATCGTACGGTGATCGCGATTAATTTAACGATCATGCCCTACGATGATCGAGGAAGACTCGGGTACACGCGCGGGCGTGTGCTTCGGCGGGATGATACGCGCGCGTGTGTATGCGAGCGTATGCAACTACTGAACTTTGCCATTTGATCCTGCTTCGCCCCGTTAAGTTCAGGGTTGCTGAACTCCTTGCCTCCAGCGTTGAAGAGATTGGGGGAAGCAAGTAGCGTTAAGCGTCGAGCTATGTTTCGCTAATCGATGACTTTATAACGTTGATCGTCTCGGTTATTTTATGTAGAAATTCACCATTATCACGTAATTACGGGGCAGCGGGGATTGGGGAACTTTTATTGCATAATTTTCAACAACTTTGCCGCTAAGTCGGACACTTCTCTACGTTGTGGTGTCGTGTATTCATATACGCGGTGCGGCTATCCTAATATAGTAGTGCTATCCCCGATATCGTATTTTCATTAAATCTATTGGTTTTAGATAATTTGCCGAGTAATAACGTAACCACTAATATTCTGTCGTGATCAATAATTTAATCGAATGCCCCAAATTCCATTAATGATTAATGATTTCAACTTTAAGGAGTATTCCATTTAGAGACTTTTCCCTGCTGAATCGCTGAAGATAATTATAATTTGACAGATTGAAATAAATTATTGTAAGCTTGGGGAAAATAAAAGGTTCCAAAGATTAATCAAAGAGGCGAGGGGGAAATTTGTCATAAAAAAAATGTACACGCGATATCAGCCCGTGTAATTTTCAAGACAAAAGAAAACTTCTTGAAGTCCAACACTGACTAAAAACCGCAATAAATGTCTCTTCTCACTTTTGCTCCAGTCCTGAGGCAGTCCCTCGCCTCTCAACTTCTTCGCGACCGTTCTGTACTACCTATGCCTCCTACACGACTTTTTATCTTTTTATCGCCGAGATCCTCAGCTTATCCTACTTCGCAATTTTTCACAAACTCCCCCAAAATTTTCGCTTACAGCGTGCTCATTTAATTGCCTCTATAATCGTCTGTATAATTCGCTCTGAACTAATTCCTAGAATCGATTATCTACTTTACCAACGGTTTAGACGATATCTTTTTCCTACGCTTACATTATCAATGTTAATTATGGCCCAATATGGTCCGATTGGTGAAATCAAGACGGAACATCGCTTGGGAAATCAATTTCGGGCTTACTGAGACTCTCGATGGCGAGCTTTGTGGTAAAATTTTCGTTATAAACAATTTCTAATTTACGTAATGAAATATAAAAGTGTAATAAAACTAGATTCATCGCTGTTCAAAGTTTCCGAATCTTCCGCTTGGTTTTCAGCGGAAACCAACCCGAGCAGAAATTTTAGTAGGGTTCTGGTAGGAGTCTAATAATAAGGATGCCTGATCAGGCACTCATCAGGCAGCCCTGATAGAGCCCCGACCGTAAATGTAACGTCGAGAATTAAAATTGCCTGATCAGGTTTTCCTTATCAGAATTTCAGGACCTCATGACTTTCCCTTTGTTACGCCTTACAATGCCTAATAGGGGGTAGTAGGGCTATTAGCAGGCTTCCGATTAAAAAATTCAATTTCTTAAACTAATTTTTAAATTGTGTTAAATTATATAATCATCAAAAGTATATTCAGGCCATTTAAGTTTATCCATGATCCAGACAACTCGCTGTTGGATTATATCGGCTCTTATACTAATACGGGATGATTTTTACTTACGAGAAAGACGAACGCGCGGTAGTGAGTGGTGCTAGTACTATATATTTAGGTTAACGTTTATCAAATCCTATGAGGGAATCAGGCGCACCGGATCAGGCACATGTCAGGAATTCCTTATTAGGGCATTCATTACTTCCTCCCCATCAGGCCCTGACTATACACAAGGCACGCCTGATTTCATTTCTACTCGGAAATTTTCGTCATCACATATCTGATATATAATGACATTTTTTTTCTTCGGTAGTGAATCTCTATTGTATTTATTAATGAAATTGTTACGATATATTTATTCATGGACGACAAATTTGATAGAGGATTTTATATTATTATTCTTGCAAAGCTGCTGATAATTCTTTCATTACCCTTGCGAGTTTTTCTCGCACTAAACATTACACTTTTCAAAGTATATAATCACGCAAAATCATGCAAAAAAAACATAAAATACACAAACGATGAGCGTAAAATATTATACATTTAAGCGCGAATATAAAATATTCAAGTTCCGCGCCAAGTCTCTAGTCCAAATCTCATTCGACAGTACCGACGACACCGTCGAGTTTCTCGCATATATCATGTCTGTATATCTTCACAATTACAAAGGAAAGAATTCCCACTTGTACCCGTAAACATGAACTCACCGAAGGGCACTCGGGTACCCCGGGTATTGAACGAAGTGGAAAATTTCGGACATTGACGTAAGGGTTAACGTGGAGCACCGACCTTTTTGAGGTGTCCCTTATTGGTGCCCACGAAGACCACGGTGTAATCGCCCGTTGAAGTGGCAGCCACAGCCGTCAGGTGAGTCTCGAACGTCAAAACTGCAGTTGCGCCCATCGGCTCTTCGCCGCCCAAGGGCGTGTTCACGTCGAGGCCGCAGAAGTCTTCGCCGATCGTTTGCAGTTTCTGTAAACAAAGCCAAGAAATATCCAATAAGTTGTTTGCGGAGAATACGACGTTTGATAGCGTTAATTATCGTAAATATCGATTACGTACACGATTTATCTTAAGTGCTATGAGAGCTGCCATGATGTTATTTGTTGATTGATTGTGATAAAGATATATGTATATATTTATACATGTTTGATACATAAATTATTATTTATATATAAATTATATAAAATTGACATTTGTGTCATGTACGGTAAAGTTTAATTAATAAATGATAAATGTCTATAAACAATACATAATAGATAGCACGTAATTTCAATACTTTCGATTCGACAGAAGTCACGAGTGCGACAGGAAAATATACAATATTAAACGGACATATGTGCCCCCAAAAAAATTAATTTTAAATAAATAAATAAATTTTAATAAATAAATTTTAATTACATGAATTTATTTTTATAAAATATTTAATCGATTATATTCACATACACTTCATACTGCAATTAAAATACTTTTTCAGCCACGTTCATCCATTTCATTATCTTTCGAGTGGATCGTATGTATTCAACATTCCGAGGGGGAAACCGCTGAGGGCATTGTGGTGTACAGATTTGCGGCATTACCGGGCATTACTAGGGCATTTTTGGGGCATTACGTCTTGCTGAGGCATTATAAAGATAAAATAAGATACAATAAGATAAAATAAGATAAAACAAGATAAGTAAGATAAAAGAAGATAATAAGATAAAGTAATGCCCACTGGGCATCGGTGTACAAGATTTTGGTCAGCGGTTTCCCCCTCGCAACATTCCCTTTCTCGGAGGGACGTGAAATAAGATACGGTAGATAAATAAAACTGGCGAAGAAAGCAAAAGTGTTGTAGGGTTAAGAATTAAAAGCTCACTTTATAACGACTAATTCACCGCCTGGGGAAATAGGCCGCGGTTAATTTTACTTGCAGATTCTTAGCCTCGTGCCTTAGAGTGCGAAGCGCGACAACATAAATCCATTTTCCGCACTAACAGGAACATTGCAAAATCACTCATCCTTCTGCCTGTCTGTCCTACATATGCGTAGTGTTGTTAAAATCTGAATTCTCTGCGGAGTATGTTGTCTCTTTAGCGGTATGCTCTCTCGTCGGACACGTGAAGCCGTTACCACTTATCACAATTAGAGTTAAATGTTTGTTTATCGCATTTCATGCGCTGGCATAGAGAGATTTATAAAAAGAACATACTTAAATCAATACTTCTAACGTTAAATGTGTTGCATGAAAAATATATGCATTTAGCTTTTAAACTAGCGAAGAGAAAAAACTAGTTCTCTGCTAGAAGCATCCGACAACTTAAGAGCACTTTATATGTATGTTAATAAATATATAAAAGCAATTGTATAAAATACGCTGTTAAAACTTTTTAATAAAATATTAGAGAGAGATAATCATTGGGGATGGTATATTATTCATCATAATACAATAAAACGATGAAGAAAAGTGTCTGGAAAATTTGAAGAAAATACAGAAGTAAAAAACTTAATCTCATACAATAAGTATAATGTCTCCGCGTTAGTGCTTGTAGCTAAAGCAAGTGTGGCGTTATTTTGTCGAGATTAAGAGTACGAAACTGTCGTGTTGAGGCGAATTGCCCTAGGAAGGATATACCGGAAAGTGACCTGTGTAGCACGAATCTCGGTGGATACAGAAATCGAGGGAGTGATTTCGCCGAGTCGGAACGCGCTTCCTTTTTCCGGCGGAAAAGCGGTAGGTTAGCGAAGCGCGAAACCAGGAAAAACATCCGCGGCTAAAATATCGCGGCGAGACGGGCCGCGATAAATTATCGCAGCGCCGACGATTAATTCTTGCCGGACCGGCGATTAATCGCGTCCTACGACACAGAGATGCGATATTTTATTGCCCTTTACCAAACGCTTCTTTTCCCCCCGACCGCGAAACTTGAGAGGCGCGAGGCATGCACAGCCTCCTCTGCCGTGTTCCGCGTGACGTACAAAAGGTGCATTATACGATGCATTATACGGTCAGGCCTGACGATTAACGCACTTAAGGAGCCCGTTGGAGTTGACAATCATTTATATCAAATAATCAGAGAAGAGCAAACAGAATTACTCTTTCCTTTGCAACATTCTAACATTTATACAATACAGTTTAATAAGTGAATTTGATTTTTTAATACAAATATCGCAAGTAATAATAGCGCCTTAAACGAGCTGATCTCTCATGTTAGTGCCCCTTGATGCGTAAACACCGTTTTTCAACACTGCACCCAGAAAAAAAGATTTATTTAAGTTAAACAAATGAGATACGTTGAAATCATGTGCCTTTGAATCTACTAAATTTTTATTTACTTGTACTAAAACATTTGCTGGACTTGAAGAAATAGATATGAAGTCTCTTAGAAATTCCAGTTCCAATAAAATTTTAAAGTAAAGACATAATTTCTTTGAAATTAAATAAAAGTCTAGTAAGATCAAAATTCAAACAAATTTGTTTGATTTCAAACAAACTTAACTTTCGAGGTGTGCAAACTGCGCGTCGATAACTTTTTAAGCTCCAGCTAGACCGTATAAAGGCGTTCTTATTATTTCCGTTAATACATTTTAACTAGCATATCACTAATACAATTTTTAAGAAAAAAATTAGCTAACAGAAAAGCGAGAGAAAACATGTCTTCGTTTGGAAAACCCAGTAAAGATTTATTAAAATTAAAAGTTAAAGAAATAAGATACGCTGAAATCATGTTTGTATAAACCTACTAAATTTTTATCTACTTGCACTAAAACATTTGCTAGATTTGAAGAAGTAGACATAAATTCCCTTAGAGATTTCAGGCTCAATAAAATTTTAAGGTAAAGAAATCATTTCTTTGAAATTAAATAAAAATCTAGTAAGGTCAAGATTCTAATTTGTGTAATTTCAAGGAAACTCTTTTCTGGGCGAATAACCTATGGTCTCTTTGATTAACCGAAAAGTTATAAATGAGACCATCAGCTACTATAGTTGCAGCGTGCCGGACGCCGGATCGAGATCGTTCCTCGATTATATATTCCTTTTTGTGCGTTTCGAAGACACTCGCCTTTCGCAAGCACCGTAAGGGTTGCCTCGTGTGCGAGTCGGCAGATAGGATAATCCACCACCCGGGTGTGTTGCATGTGCGCATACAAAGGCGTATGTATCCACATCAGCGAACAAACCAGCCAGCTCGTTCGCGGCGGGAGTCCCGTGCGAAGTCGGGCTCTATTTGCATTCTAGGGTCGGCTTCGCCACCCCGTACACGCACGCACGCACGCACGCACGCCCGCACGCACGCACGCGCGCACGCATACGCGCACGCCGCGGCGAACAATTATTTGCATTCCCGGTGCTAATACGACGGCGCGGAAGGGGCGTCGCGGCGCATTCTCGCTGCGGCCGTCCTCGCGGCGACGGCAATAATTACGGAAAATCAGCGACGGCGGTACGTCCTTGCGCGAGACCGCGCCTAAAGCTGCATCCGCGTGTGTGCAACGAATCCAATTTAAACACGCAAACGCACGCGAGCGAGATGCAAATCGCGACGCAAGTTAAAATCATTTGTTCTTCTACACGTAAAAAAAGTGTCATAATCATCAAATGATATATTGATATATTAATAATACACAGCGTGCGTTGGCGTTTCAAAAAGATCTGGGTATATTCACACCGAATACGTAAAGGCTTCCTAATAATGAGACAAAAATATTCTTTACATATTTAGTTACAACCCTGTGTAACAAATCTTGCGGTAAAATGTAAAACAATATTAAAACTAAATCAACGCAGTTCCTATTTCCCTCTCTCGAATTAAATAAAATTGACAGTGTATTGAGATTAAGGTACCATAATGAGCTTACATCCGAGGGGGAAACCGCACTGCAAAAACAAATGTGTTAAAACAACATGTTAAGCACGTCTCCACTTATAACACGCAAAACTGGCATGTTAAATTAACACATCTATACTCGTATGTGTTAAAAAAACACACTTCCATGTGTATAAATGTGTTTTTTTAACACATAAAAGTATAGATGTGTTAATTTAACATGCCAGTTTTGCGTGTTATAAGTGGAGACATGCTTAACATGCTTTAAAGCATGTTGTTTTAACACATTTGTTTTTGCAGTGCGGTGACCAAAATCATGTACACCAATGCCCATTAATGTCCAGTGGGCCTTATTTTATCTTATTATCTTACTTTATCTCATTTTATCTTTATAATGCCCAAAAAACTGCCCACAAATGCCCAGTAATGCCTAGTAAATGTGTACACCACAATGCTCTCAGCGGTTTCCCCCTCGCTTACACCCTTGCGTTTTATAGAATGAATCTAACGCAAAATCATTTTATAGATTTAAGAATTTTCCATTTGAGATTAAAACATTTCCTCTCTCGATAATAAATATGCGATTGTCACTGTATCCTACTTTACGACAGATCGAAGTGCGGTAGCATTGGATCCAGAAATCTTTTCTGTGCGTGCGAAGTTGTGCAGTTTAAAAGTATGGAAATCACGGGAGATAAATAAACCTGTTAATATTCATCGGGTGTCCTTTGTGCCTTATGCAGGAGCGAAATATAAAAAAAATCGAAACAGCGGAAAATTAAAAGGGCCCGCGATTTGATATACGAGCGCGCGGTAATACGAACAAATATTCGTTAATAGTAGTTCGAGCGGAGCTCTTTATGCGCGCGTGCAGCAATTTGCATGTCTAGCGAGGGGCGGCAACTATGTACCGTTTCTCACTAATTTTAATTCCGGCGGTAAAAAGATGTTAATGCGCGACGTTAATATTCAACCTTAAATATTCGCGCGAGACTTGGAGTTTGCTGGATTTACTCTTTATATTTTCCATGCAAAGGACGAGACTTAAAAAATTCATAGTATGCAAAATCCCACGTCGGCCTTTAATATCTCAGGCACAAAGCCGCTGTGTCAATGCTTTTGACACACTTGATATTCATATGTTATCTGGCGAAAAACCTC